CTGTAGCGTCATAATATGGTCAATAAGAAGGTGCCACCGACTCCAGTACTACACCGCTAACGATGACACATAACTCTGAACCTGTTCCAGAAGGAGGACACATGGATGTTACAGCGTATTCATACAAATTTTCCGCAAAATGCCGTTCGTGTTCTCAATCAGCCAAATATGTACGTAGCATTGTGGTTACACAAAGATAAGCCGGTTATGGGACAAGCATGGAACGACAGCGGCGTTGTGCAGGTAGGCGTGAAAAGGGGAGGGGCATAGGGGCGCGGCCAACCAATGGGCTGTGCGCAGATTACTGGGATTTCAAAGGAAGAGATAGCTAATACAAAAGTATGCAATAAAGTGTTATTGATTTTTTGATTGAATCATCAATTTCAGTGCGCATTTGCGGCAGATCATAAAGTCTATAAAGGAAAGGATATCGAGGGTGGTACCATACAGCTGCTCATATATAAAGGAAACCATGTAACAAATAACTTTTTCTATGAATGGTTACCTTTGCCAAAATGGAAAGTAAGCAACAGAACAATAAATTTTTCACTCTGAATGAACGTCAAATAAGCTTCTAAGGTGGAACGAAATGGAAAGCGAGAACAAGTTTTGTACGGGATGGTGGCGCCCATTTTCTGGAAGGAAAAAGCCGTACTCGGGAACTATAGCATTGCCGAACATAAAGCAACATTCGCAATTGCAGACAAGTACCATGAGGTACCGAAATTAGCGTTTCGCTGGAGCCATCAATCAAATTTTTTAGGTGAATGATACGACGACGCTCAATAAGATGCTAGTACTCATTCGAAACACCAATGGTGGTGCAGCTGGTTGTTCATGCGAGAAATGTGCTGTAAGCATCGGAGTAGCTCGATTATCAATTAATCGATAAGCTTCCTATTTTGATTTAAGGCTAATGGCGAACATGCTTCGATAAAGACATTAATGGTGAACGATTGGGGCGATTTCTGTTGTGGAAATCCGTGGCCCGCTGATAAGTGCGATAGTTTTGCGCTAACAATGAATGTAGCTATTGATTGGAAAAGATTATTTCAGACCTATAATGAGAGCGCTGAACCGACCGATGAATACTCCACGTGGACCCCAAGATCACTATGTTGCACTTTGGTACCGACACGGAAAACCTCTAATGGGTCGCGCATGGAATGACGGTGGAAAAATTAACGCCTCGTTTGTCGAGTGCGTTTATACTTTGTCGCCTGCGCTCTAAAGCAATCGCACAAAAAACTTTTCCATCTTTAGTTCTAACCATGAGATCACTGGCAAAATCATTGGATCTATGCAAATGCTCGT